ATAAGAATAATTAATAAAAAATATAATTACTTACATTTAAAATTAAATAATTATGGAAGAATTATCTATATAATAAAACGTACCAGTTATGCTAATACAACCGATAATATATAATAGTAGAAATAATACAACAAATTATATAAATAATACGTTATTAATAATATAACATATTATACAAAATAATATGTAATAATAATAATAATATAACATATTATTTAAAATGATACGTAATAGTATTGATAACACAACGGATAAATTCTAAAAAAATTTATTACACTAAATAAATATCTAAATTATTTAAATAAATATAAAACTCGGACTTTAAATCATAGAAAATTCTAGAAAATCGAGAAAAATATAAATACTCTTTTAAAAATAATAATTGAATATTTTAAAATACCAAAATTATTTTAACTATATTAAAAGTTCATGATCCTTACAACTTGAGACTGTTCTGTTTGTACCTGTCACTGCTTGTGTTATGAATCATACTTCTTAATAGGCTCCTTCTCTACAGGCTCGATCTAAGCTCTCTTGTAAATATTGCAAGATGGAAGGACGTCGTATTGAGACATGCTTTAAGCTTCATCTTGAGTTACGTTCCTTAGGTACCGGTCATGGTCGGCGACCCTCTCAGTCTCAACCCTCTCATACACCAAGATTGCTGGCCAATGCTATACCTTCTATCACTTCAGACTCTACTATTCAAGCTATTGAAGGTCTTCGCCATCAACTTGATGCTTTTCAGCATATCACCTCTACATCCGCTGCAGAACTCTCTGGTATGCATTTTGTTGGTTCTTCAGCTAACCCTTCGGTCTCTGGTATGAATGATCTCTGGATTTTTGACTCTGGTTGTTCCTTTCATATGACTTGTAATGCCTTACTTTTATCCTCTGTCTTCACTTCATCTTCTCTTTCCCCTATCTACACAGTTGTTGGACAATTATTGTCTATCACTCAGTATGACTCTATACCACCACAAAATGATCCATCTGATCGTCTAACACTTAGTCCTGTCTATGTAGCTCCTCAGTTGAGCTTGAATTTAATTTCTATTAGTTCTTTATGTATGACTGGCCTGCTTGTCTCATTTTCTTCTGATACTTATCTTGTGCAGGATCCACAGACGGGCAAGATGGTTGGGCGGATCCTAAGAGGCACAAGCTGTATTTTTTGGAATATCTTCACCTTCCAGAGTCCATACGTCCACATTCTCTTGTTGCTTCTGTTTGTTCATCAAAACCCTCTACCTCGCTTCTTGCTAATTTGTGGTATAGATGACTTGATCATGTGTCTAATAAAAGGCTAGAGAGTCTTATTCAGTCTGGTGTACTTGATCTTGTATCATCTAGTTCTAGTATTGAGTCGTGTACTGATTGTAAATTGACTAAATTCACTACTTTACCTTTTAAAATGAGTATATTTGTATCCACTTCCTTATTTGATTTAGTACATTCTGATATTTGGGGGCCAGTTCCTCTGCCTTCTTTATCTGGCTACTTATATTATGTTAGTTTTATCGATGATTTCTCGTTTTACATGGGTTTACCTACTTAAGAATCGCTCTGATGTACTTACTGCTTATCAAGCCTTCACTGCTATGATCTTCACTCAATATCAATTTTGTATTATAGTTTTCTATTCTGACTGTACCAAAGAGTATCACCATACGCTCTATAATGTCCTCTCATGAGACTATCTTTTAACAGTCATGTCCCTATACTTATGAGCAAAATGGTATTGTTGCACGCTAACATCATTATATCCTCGATACTACTCGATCCATGCTCATTTTTTTACTCTGTTCCTCGTCATTTCAGGGCTGAGGCCATTCTCACTGCTACTCATACTATTAATATCACTCCATCTAGCTCTCTTTCCGGTGCTACTCCTCATAGTTGAAAGTACCCTAGAGAGGGTGAATAGGGTTATTACTAATCTTACTAGATATTAATGCCGATTAAAATTAATTAACAAATATATCCTAATAATATTAATATTCAATTTGATTAATGCAAGGATATATAAACAAGAGTAAATCAACAATGATGATAATGCACAAAAACAATCACAAACACATGATATGTTCACAGTGTTTGGTCCCCACGACATACGTCTTTGCTCCTCACCTCGAGGAGATCTTCACTATCACAATCGTGTTTTTTACGCTCATCCGAATAACGTTTATACCTTACAATTCAGTTTTCTAGTTTACCGAAAACTTTACACCTTACACACTTGTAAATATACTTCACACCCTCTAAGTGTTAGCCTAGCCCGTGTCACCTTCCTCAAGTGTTCAGAATTACCACCTCTCACTAGCCTTTACTACCGACCCCACTTCTTTTGGAACCGACCCCGTCTCTCACTAACC